ATTGGTTGCAACTGGTTGAACTGGTTAGAATTGGTTGGAACTGGTTGAACTGGTTGGAATTGGTTGGATTGGTTGGAACTGGTTGGAATTGGTTGGAACTGGCTGGAATTGGTTGGAACTGGTTGGATTGGTTGGAACTGGCTGGATTGGTTGGAACTGGCTGGATTGGTTGGAACTGGCTGGAATGGGTTGGAACTGGCTGGATTGGTTGGAACTGGCTGGAGTGTCAGAGAATTAGAAGAATGTTCCTCTCACTGGATCCTTTCAGGTGACACAATTTTGATCTGCCCCATTACTGATGATGTTCACTTTCATCACTTGATTAAGGTGGTCTGTCAGGCTTCTGGACTGTGAAATTATTCTCTTTCCCTTTGTAATTAATAAGTTTTTGTGGGGAGCTACCTTGAAACTATATAAATTAAAAGACCATGACAATTACCACTCATTCTTAGTACAGGTATGCTAGAGTCTTTGTCCCTTTACGGGCTAGAAACATGTAACATCTGCAAATCCTCTATTAAAAACTCATCTTTCTAAAGAAATTATGCTTCCATACTTTTTTGTTTCTATGAAAAAAAGAAGAAAAAACAGAAAAGTCGTCTTCTTGATGCCTTAAATGAGGTAAGAGAGCTGGACTGACATCATCCTGGGCCCACAAGTCTAGTCCTGAGGAAAGTGACAGAGGGTTCAGAAGAGCCCCACTCCACCCTCTCTCTCATAACAGTTACTTTCAGAGGCGCAGCTGTCAGTCAGTGGCAGCTCTCTGTGGTGCTCCCCTGTCATGGAGTGAACCACATTAGCAGTGGGGCAGTTGAAGAATCTCACTCCTAGGAGCAGGGCAGGAGCAGAACAGTACGGGAAATATCTGGACTTCACTAAGCTCTACATTTGGTAGGGAATGAATGGGGAATCTGTGGCACTTTTGACCAGTCTGTCTCTTGATGTCCTGCGACTTCCGTCTCAGTCACAGAAGATCCTACATAGTCTTACCCAGAGACAGGACAGGGTTCCTGGCTTGGCAGACCCTAGAGCACTGCTGTCAAGGAGTTGACCTGGTGGAGAGGCAAGGCTTACACAGATGCCTCAGTGCACACCAACTCTCCATCCCCCTCAGCAAATGGGAGCACGCACTTGGAGTACCACATTGAACATGGAGCTCTGGCGATTACACATTTTAAAAAATTGCTAAAAAATGTTATTGCCCCCAAAGGGGATTTGGGCATAGACACATGAAAAGATAATCATATGGGGCAAAAATCTTAGAGCCACCACAGTCAGCACTCAGACCATCTTGGAAGTGTCTAGAGTCTCGTCACAACACCTCTGTAAGTTATGTGTTATCCCTCCTGTTTACATAAAGGGTGTGGAGGCTCAGAGAGGTTGAGGAACTCGTTCACACAGCAATAAGTGGTAGGACTGGGTGCTTAGAATGTATTTACAGACAGAATATAGACATATGACGTTTCATAACTCTGGAGTGCTGGAACATCAATGCTGGCAGGCTCTCAGGGATAACTCAGCCAACCTCCTCATTCTACAGATGGACAAGCTATAGCCCAGAGAGGTTACATGATTTATACAAAGTCCCAGAGCTGGCCAAGAGAATAGTCAAGAACTACATCAGGTCTTCAGACTTCTAGTCCAAAGCTCATCCCTTCCCCGTTCACCCCCTCCCAGTAAAGGCTATCCTTAGACAGACATTGCTTTCTCCCTTTTTTAAATCACAAGGCTTTGGAGATTCACATACAAATTGCTGGTGCCACGAGGACAATGCAAGAGGAATCAGGTGTCTCAGGACGGCTGCTGCTCTATTCTCCAGGAGGTGCCTGTGGCCTGAGCATTTATCCTGATGGCCCAAGTTGACTCTGAGACATTTTAAGGTTTGCTTTAAAATGTACCCATATTACAGATCATCAGATGATCTCCTTATGATGAAGCCCTCTCTCCCAATTCCAGCCATGCCTGCATGTTTTTACCATTATGTTAAAATCACCCACTACTTATTGTCCAGGACTAGAAAAAAAAGAGCAGAGACACTGGCTTACAGATTCACTTGTCCCAGGCACAAATTAAGTAAGGCACTCTCTATAAAGAATGTGCAGTACACAAAATATCGAAATCTACTCTGAATAAGCGACTGATTGAAGAGAGCAGTGGTGGGAGAACTGGGTCTCTGGAGAGCACTCAGCTACAGACTGCAGGCCCAAACTCAAAAGAACCTATATCAGATTCTTGCAACAAGTGGCGATTACATTTCAACAAAAAATATGTCACATCGAATTATATTGATTCATATTTTCTTGGTTTTGTAGTTTTATTTAATTCATGTTTGGGTTTTATGGTTGCATAAGCACTATAAGCATAAAGAGCTTATACCCAATTTTAAGTTTGTTTATATTTAAGTGCACAAAAAATTTGTCATCACTAGGGGTCCCAGATAAGTTTTTTCCTTTAAGACGGAAGGTACGACGTTCAAGTTTGAGAACACCGTTTGTCGTATACTGCTGGCAAACAGAATATCACTTTTATACCGCACTTCCCGTTCCGCACCATCCTCCTCGTCCCCCAACCCCAACCAAGTGCAGGAAGTAAGCGCCCCTAGAGGCTTACCTGCAGGGCAATTTCTTTCTTCTTGCTGCCCATGGCTCTGCAAAAAAGACAGAAGCCCTGTTACCGCAGGCTCGGATGCTTCCCCGGCCGCAGCCTCGCGACAAACCGCTGCGCGCATCAGCAAGCCAAGAGCCTCCTTCAGACAAAGCGCCTCGCCCCTTGAAGGTGCTTACAAGTGGCAGCAAATAAACGCACTGATGCAAAATGAACACCCCCTGAGGGAAGTAGTGCCTGCAGCCCGCGGGCTCCTGGCTCGAGGGGCGGGTTTTCTGCGGATTTGCGAAGCCCCTTCCCCGCCCCGGAACCGGCCAAGGGGGGCGCGCAGAGGCTCGAGTGGGGGCGGGAGGCGATGCAGCCCGGCAGGCATCGGAGCGCCCGCCGAGGAATTCGGGCGGAAAAAGGCCACAGAACCCTGCTATCCCTACAGTTCCAGTGTATTCCTGGGAAACTGAGCCACCACAAACGATCTCTCCACAGGTGCACGGACCTCAACGCGCTGCGAGAGTTTCCAGCAGAGTCTGCGGTGACCCAGCCACGGTCGTCATGGCAACACAGGACTGCGCCAAGTTGGCCAGGTAATAAACAAACGTACACGTAAACCACGCCCACTCTGGGCCCAGCAGATAGGCAGGAGGGAGTCCCGCCCCTTGAGTCAGAATTGGACCGTAGGAACGCTCTCATTGGCTGAAGCGTTTGTCAGTGTCTGGGGGATTTGGCCCCGCAAAGCAAAGACCTGGTGCATCCTTGTACTGTACAATTGCGTCCCCGAGTCCCTGCACCCCTCCTTCCCCGCCAGGGCTAGCGTGCAGCTTTTCTACCGTTACTTAATGCATGCCAAGCAGCAGTAGCTCCAGGTTTTGAGGGATCTGAAGGGTTCCCTTTAAGACAAAGAATACAAAATTACAAATTCAAAATTTAGGTATGAAAATGAAGTGGAATAAATAGAAAACAGTTACAAACATGGTATGAGTAGTCCACACCAATTAAAAGACAGAGATTGTCAGTGGATAAAAAAATAAGGCCCAACCATCTGTTGTCTACAAGAAATCCACTTTAAATATAAAGACATAGATAAATTAAAAGGGGTGGAGAAAGCTATGCCATGCTAACACTAACCAAAAAAAGCTGGAGTAGCTATATTAATTCAGGCAAAGAAGACTTCAGAACAAGGAAATCTATCAGGGATAAAGAGAGGGCATTACATAGTGCTAAAGGGGTCAGTTCTCCATGAAAACATAACAATAACTATGTTATTAATTATAAATAAAATAATAATAATTAATATTAATTTGTATGCACCTAAGAACATCAAAATACATGAGGCAAAAACTGATAGAACTACAAGAAAAATAAATAAACCACTATTATACCTGAAGACTTCAACACCACTTTTTTAGTAGTGAACAGATCCAGCAGGCAGATAATGAGCAAGCATATAGTTGAACTGAACAACATCAATCAACTTGATCTAATTGACATTGATACAATACTTCATCCAACAACAGCAGAATACAGATTCTTCTCAAGTTCACATGAAACATTCACCAAGATAGACCACATTCCAGGTCTTAAAACACACCTTAACAAATTTAAAAGAATAGAAATCATAGAGTATGTTCTCAGATCAAAATGGAATTAAACTAGAAATCAATAACAGCTGATGAGAGAAATTGAAAGGATTTAAATAAATGGAGAGATATTCCATGTCTGTGGATAGGAAGAACCAATATTGTTAAGATGTCATTTCTTCCCAATGTGATCTATAGATTAAACACAATTCCAATCAAAATCCCAGCATGCTATTTTGTGGATATCAACAAACTGATTCTAGAGTTTATATGAAAAGGTAAGAGACCCAGAATAGCCAATACAATCTTGAAGAAAAATAACAAAGTTGGAGAACTGACACTATTGGACTTTAGAACTTACTATAAAGCTGCAATAAGCAAAATAGCATGATATCATAGTGAAAGAATAGAAACATAGATCAATGGAACAGAATAGAGTCTAGAAATAGAAATAGACCTATACAAATGTACAAAATTGATCTTTGACAAAAGGGCAAAGGAAAGTCAATGGAGAAAGGATCGTCTTTTCAAAAAATGATACTGGAATAATTGGACATCCATTTGCAAAAAAAGAAAAAAATGACTCTGAACGCAGATCTTACACCTTTCACAAAAATTAATTCAAAGTGGATCATAAACACAAATGTAAAATGAGAAACTATAAAACTTTTATAAGGAAACATAGGAGAAAATCTAGGTGATCTTGGATTTGGCAATGACTTTTTAGACACAGCACCAAAAGCATGATCCATGAAAGAAAAAATTTATAAGTTGGACTTTATTAAAATTAAAAACTTGTGTTTTGCAAAAGACTGTTAAGAGAATGCAAAGACAAGCCACAGACTGGGAGAAACTATTGGCAAAACACACATCTGATGAAGGACTTGTATCCAAAATATACAAAACTCAACAGTAAGAAAACAAACAACACAGTTAAAAAATGGGCAAAAGATCTGAACAGGTACCTCACCAAAGAAGATCTACAGATGGGAAGTAAGCAAATGAAAGGATGTTCAACCTCATTTGCCGTTAGGGAATTACAAATTAAAACAATGAGATACTTCTACACACCTTTTAGAATGGCTAAAATCCAAAAAAGCTGACAATGTTAAATGCTGATGAAGATACAGAGCAACAGACACTCTCATTTATTGCTAGTGGGAATGCAAAATGATACAGCCATTTTGGAAGACAGTCGGGCAGTTTTTTACAAAGCTAAACATAGTCTTACCATACAATCCAGCAATCGTGCTCCTACGTGTTTACCCAACTGATTTGAAAACTTACCTGTGCACAAAAACCTGCATGTAAATGTTTATAGCAGCTTTGTTCACCAAAACTGGAAGCAGCCAAGACGTCCTTCAATAGGTGAAGGAAGGATTAGACTGTGGCGCATCCGTACAGTGGTGTCTCTAAGACAAAGCATCGCAAGCTGGATCCGCAAGATGCAAGCGATGTTTGTTGCCGCAGGGTGGTGGTTACTCAAGCTCTTGAACTGTTTGAAATCTCCCTTAGGACTTGTTCACAAAATAAAATTCAAATCAGATACTAAACTCCTTCTGCCAGCACACTGAACCATACTCTATTCTTTTTGAAAGGGTTAGATTTCTCACCACATGATCCCCACTAAAAAACGTAGTCGTATCTGGGCCAGGCTGAATCTCAGAAACAAATTTAGGGGAAACACATGCCCCGGTTTGCCTGGGATATCCCCACTTTACACCTGTTGTCCCATGCAATTAATAGCAGCGCTTTTACTTTCAAAAGTGAACAGTTGGGACAAAATGGAACCTCATCAATTATCCCCCCAGTGGATCACCTTGCGGCACTCCAGCTTTTTACATCTTGATTTAATGAAATTTCCATCTTTCACATAGTTTATGATATGAGTCGGTGATTTGATTGCTTTGCCCAAAAATCAGATGTCTTTTTCCAAGACATCTTTTTTTGTGTGTGTGTGAGGAAGGTCAGCCCTGAGCTAACATCCATGCTAATCCTCCTCTTTTTGCTGAGGAAGACCGGCCCTGAGCTAACATCTATTGCCAATCCTCCTACTTTTTTTTCCCCCAAAGCTCCAGTAGATAGTTGTATGTCATAGTTGCACATCCTTCTAGTTGCTGTATGTGGGATGCGGCCTCAGCATGGC